TATATAATGGAGTATATTTTACAATGATGAAATATATATTTATAGAATTATTAAAAAATGAAAAAGTTTTATGCAAATGTATTCAAAGATCTTTTTAAAAAATCAAAATGGACCAATGAATTAAAATGCATAAATCCACATCATTAGTGAGTGCACATGTGGATGCACATGTGGCATGCCACATGTCAACACTACAACAATTGAACTCTCTTTTACATATATATATAGGATAGGATATACAACAATAATCAAACAAATTTTAAAAAAAAATTAAAGACAAAACGGAGTACCTGACTCCGGTCGCAAGGTGTCCTCGTCGCACTTCTCTCTCCCTCAGCGTTTCCTTCTCTCTCGGCCAGGCTTTTCCTTCTCTCTGTCTGTGTGGCCAAGAGTAAAAAACGAGTGGATGGGGAGGGGAGTGGAAAGGTGATTTGAAGGGACACGGAGTTACCTACCCCATCTGGGTATTATTAAATCCGAACGGAGTAGCGTACTCCGTCTCAGAAATAAAATCATGAGAAACGGAGTAGGCTACTCCGTTTTGTTTATTATTTCGAAATCAAACGGAGTAGGGAACTCCGTGACTGCCAGGAAATAAAACACTGACTTACACTGCCAGGAAGTATTTTTAATTTATTTACATATATCGGGAGTTTACTCTATGCATTGAGCCAAGTGTCCACTACGCTATGAATAAAGTAAAAAAATGAATTAATTCCCAAGTAGTGAACATTTTGAAAAAGGATTCCCAATCTGTGCAATACACCATAGTCAGATGAACAGTACACGAATATCAGATGAACAGTACTCTTTGTACCCAATGAACAGTACCCATCTACTATATATATATAAAAGCCCATGAGAAATCAATGCAACAATTTCATTCCAATTTTCCCTCCATTTTTTTCAATCCAATGGCAGAAACAGTTTTGGTAAACATGGCACAAATCCATAAAATATGGCCCTACACTTTAATACAATCACAAGAGGCCGAACAGAATGGGGTCAAGGCCCATCAACTTTAGTAATATAGCTGTACAAAATGCTGATAAAGTTTTTCTCTTCCACAGAATTGCATGAAGGTCCAGTTTTCCTCTTCCACAGAATGGCATCAAGGTGTTCTTGAGTTCGGATTAAATTCAATGGTTCCACTTCATCCCCACAAATTCAGTGTTCTTGAGTCTCGGATGTGGTCACCAAAAAAACCATAATTTTTCATTCAATTTAAACAAATACCACAAATTATAAATTGCTATATAATTTCTATAACAAAAACTAAAAATTATTGTGAGGCTCAAAAGATATGATTGCCATGGCTGCAACGACAGTCTCAAATTTCCGAGTTGCCTCGCCAAGATACAAATCATTT